GTTTCGATTATGTGTGGTTGATGGCGAGAAAAGTATGAAGCAGAAATATGAGAAGAATCCAGAACATATTGATCTGATGCACGTTCATCAACACGTGCAGACGCAATACAGTGGGGGAAGATAAAGAGACGGTAGATTGCTAACACGTATACACAAAGAATATACCTAATGTCAAAATATGCCCCCCCTAGAAAAAATATACTTAAGGGACCATTTTTGTGAAACTGTTCACCAGTTCACTATTCATCTTTTAGGATAAGTTTAATATATATATAATAATTATTTATATTTATAATTTTCTTTCACTAAATTACAAATCTGAACTTTACATTTAAAATTTAATTTTTCACACTTTTTTAATATGTTTTTTTTTTTAATTTATTAATTTCTAAATTAGAAAACGCCCACACCGCAGTGCCGCACTCTATTCCCTGTATCCTACAGCCACAGTCTCTACTCCGCCACCAGCCTCCACAACACCGTTCCCGCTCAATACCGGTTGTCTTCGTTCACCTCCTCCATCTTTCACCCACCGCAACTAAGAGCCCTTCAATTCCTCCACATCACAACCACTCACGATCCCTGCACAAAATTCTCATGCGACACCGTTACCCCATTCCGCCACCTCATCTCCCTCCAACTCACCAGCACTCCTCCGTCCTCCACCTCCTCTCCCTCCATCTTTGATCCACAGCTTGGACCGGCCCTACATTGATCATCATACTACCAATTCCAAAACCCTAAAGTTGCTAGCCTATTTGTGGCGATGGAATCCCTTTTTAGTGTTTGCTCAAATTCGTTGTTTTCATCACTTCAAAACCATAAAAATACAACATTATTCCAATTCCTTACTCCCGCTTCTCTTCCATCGAGTTCACAATTAAAGTTGCAAAGCCGAGTATCCATAAAACCCCACGATTTTCATAATTTTCCGCCATTTGTAGCATCGAGGAAGAGAGTATTAAAGTGTATAGATAGCAACGAACAATTAGAAACTAGTTTTGATGAAGGAGAGAGTTTGAAGAGCGCTGTTCGAAGGAAAAACCTTGCTGTCTTTGTCTCCGGTTGTGGTTCGAACTTCCAAGCTGTTATCAGGCGATTCTTATGGGAGATGTTCATGGACGCTTTGTTGTATTAGTCACCAACAAACATGGTAGATTCTAGCATCTTGTTTCTCTTATTTTACCTTTTCGATTCCGCATGATTCATCTGTAATATGTGCATCAAAGCCAGTGGTTTTTCATGTCTAGATTTCCTTATTTTTCATTTTGTAAATGTATAGATTGTGGAGGTGCAGAGTATGCATTTAGAGAATGACATCCCAGTTATAATATATCCTAGAACACAAAACGAACCAGAAGGCATGTCTTCAAACGATCTTGTAGATGCTCTAAGGTGAAATTTTCCTATCATCAATCATATTATTCGTTCCTTTTTTTTTTTTGTTGGTGTTCATTACCTTTTTTGTGTAGCGTAGTACATACAAGATTGACTTTATACTTCTAGCTGGATACTCGAAGCTTATACTAATCCGAGCTTATCCAAATTCAGTCTTGAATATTCATCCTTCACTTCTTCCTGCTTTTGGAGGCAAAGGGTATTATGGTTTGAAGGTGCATAAAGCTGTCATTGCTTCTGGTGCTAGGTAATGATTAATGAATGTTCTCGACTCTCGAGAGCTATTTTGCATCATATGATATCTCTCATGTGTTTTTGTTTTCCTATTATTTTGATAAGATATTCTGGGCCCCACGATCCATTTTGTTGATAAGAAGTATGACAATGGCCGAATTCTAGCTCAAAGAATCTTTCCTGTTCTTGCTAATGACACTGCTGAAGAACTTGCTGCTAGGGTTCTTCGCCGGGTAATCATTGTTTGAATAAAGTTTGTGTATTTTGCAATCTTTTTGTAAATTTTAATATGTACATACATGGATTGTTAGGAACATAAAATGTATGCTGAGGTGGCAGCTGCAATATATGAAGAACGTGTTATTTGGAGAGAAGATGGTGTTCCTATCATTACGAAAGCAAAGCTAACCCTCAACATTATAAGATATATACAGAGAGCAAACAAGATAAATTGCAGGTTTGAGAAATTTGTTAACGCATGATTAGTTCTTGAAGCTTTGGAGTTGGAAAGAAATAATTGTGGAAGCAAGCAAAACAAGTTTATCATTTTTTGTGTGCATTTTTTTATATTAGTGAAAAGAAATGAAGATATTGGTTAAGAATATAGTAGAAACTCGGGTAAAATTAAAGTATCTAACAACACAAGTTTAACATCTAATATTAGATTTCAAAGTTCATGGAAAGAAGAAACACAACAAAACATAAAGGATAGAAACCTAAATGATCCATCAAAGATGCAGGAACTGCCACAGAAAACGAATTCTCATGGTAGCTCGTGCATCTTCTTCCATCTTAAAATAAAACAAAAGAAAAGATAATTCTAAAATATTCACAACACCTCAACGATTCGATCAGCCGCAATGCTAGCAGATACTTGATTTTGTTCTCTTGAAACCATCTTCTTAATCTTGATCAACCATTTGAACCACCAAACTCCATAATCATACAAGCTAAGAGCAATGTACATCCCGATTCCCCCAATAATTCCATTTGAAATCGAGTACGTTAAAGGCATGAGTAAAATGGTCACAAATGCGGGTACACCTTCTTTAATGTTATCCCACTCGATATCTTTGATCACCTTCATCATCAAAGCTCCGACCATGACTAAAGATGGACCAATGGCCCATGGTGGCACACTGCTAAATAATGGAATGAAAAATATCGATAAAAAGAAATAAAATCCAACAAGGATTGCAGTTAATCCTGTTCTACCACCTTCTCGAATCCCAGCTGAGGATTCGATGTAAGTTGCGATTGGAGAGACACCGAGCGTGGACCCCACGATCGAGGTCCCTGCATCGACCATGTATGCTACATATTCCCCTTGGAAACCGCCTTTTTCATCAGTAAAACCCCCGAGTTCTGCCATTGTATATAATGTACCTGTGGTGGCAAGTATGTCTACGTATAATAAAGTGAATAGGGCAACCCATACTTCACTTCGGTTAAAATTGACGAAGCTAATTGCACCTAGGGTGGACTCGATTTTGTGAAAATCTACCACATTTTTGAAGTACTTATATCTTGTGTCGCCTAGAGGTGTGTCGGGAAAAACCGTCACGGATGTGTGCCTAATCCATGATATTAAGGTGACAAACAAGATACCATAAATCATGCTACCTTTAATATCCTTCATTAACCCATAACATGTGATTAGGAACCCGACTAAGCCCAACCAAAATGTTGGGCTTTGCATGATTCCATCGGTGCATGCCCCGGTGACCGAATTTCTACTGGTGCATGCTGCCAGGGTTACTAAGGTGTCAGGATCAGGACCTACAAGCCCAATACCTTGATTAGCTTGTAAGCCCACGAACGCTATAAAAAGCCCGATTCCGGCTGCGGAAGCTAACCGGATCGATCGGGGTATGAGTCGCGCTAGCTTGGCACGCAGCCCAAAAGTTGCAATAATTAAAAAAACACAAGCCTCAACCAATACAATGGCCATAGCTGTTTGATAAGAAATGGACCCTGACCCATGAAAGCCCACTAAGTTGTAAGCCAAGTAAGCGTTTGGGCCCATACCAGGAGCCAATGCCAAAGGCAAGTTAGCAAATATGCCCATAGCTAATGATCCAATCATCGATGACAAAGCGGTGGCGACGATAAGGTCACTTTTTAGCTTTGAAAGACAATTTTCATAACCGATATTGGGTTTGAACATGCAATCTGAGGAAATAAATGTTGATGTTTGGTTGGATGAAGGAGGAGTGCAATCGGAAACAGAGCACATCCCACCGGAATCAGTCAGGATTGTGGCGTTGACTGTGATGATGTAGGCCATGGTGAGAAATGTCGCGGTTGCAGCCCGAAGTTCTTGAGTGAAACAAGTCTTTCGAGCTTGTAACTTGAAATATTTGCCAATCTTGCTATTTGAAATTGAGTCATTCAATTTTTTCCCAAAATCTTCCCATAAATTCCCCATTTTTTCACAAACCCCATTTCCGTATCTTGAACACAACTCCCCTCCTCCCATATTTGAGTAACCTTTCTCTGAGTGGTTTACTCTTATTATAAGACACACATCTCTCTTTTTATTGGCCGTAGTGTGTGTTATCTCTACTTGTGAATGATGCAATATGACTTGTATCTTGCTTTAAATGTAGGGAGAAAAAGGATCAATTTTAAATGATGGAAACCTAACTGGGTCTTTTCGAAGTTTGTGAAAGATTCTGTTTTTGTTCTAGGAATTTACTTGTTTTATTTGAGCTATGTACAAAAACTTGCTTTTTTTCCTTTAAAAAATGCATCACATTGATAACATGAAATTTTAAAAAATATGCTGGCATGATTTTTAAGATTTTGTATTTTGAACTTTTTATTCGTTTATACTAAAATATTATTTCAATAATCATTAAAATCAGGACAAATAAAATACGTAAGTTTGGTAGAAATACACAAATTTATTTTTTTGTGATAATTTACGTTAAACTTAAGGTTTTAATGAAAAAAAAAACGAACATTTATGCCAAATATAATGACTTTAACGAACCATAAATACATAAAATATTATAACTGAAAAAAAAAAGTTGCAAATTTCCGGCTTTAATGAACCTAAAATATGCAAAACGGTAAATTTGTAAATTTCTATCAAATTTAAGGTATTTTATATCATTTGCCCTTAAAATTATATCGATGATATTCGTATTTACGAACACTTAAATGTTTTTAATTTAGGGAAAATGACTTACCAAAGTAAGTATCTTTGTCGTTTTGTTTATATTTAGATAACTTCTTTATTTTTGTACACATTTGACCATTTAACTTGTTAATTTGTTTACATATTACCATTGTCATCTGCTAACTTGTTATATTTGTTCACATATTGTCATTGTCACCAGCTATAGCAAATGACAATGGTAATATGTAAACAAATTAACAAGTTAAATGATTAACTGTGTACAAAAAAAGTTGTCTAAATGTGAACAAAATGAAAAGTTAATTACCCTGATAAGTCATTTTCCCCACTTTTAATAGCGATTTTATTTTTCATATTTGTTTATATTATTTTTTTCAAATGTTATTTTTAAAATATCCATAATTTCCTAAATATTAATTAAATATTTATCAATTTTAAACTTTACTTTTT